CCGCCTATATGACCGTCTATGTGCAACTCAAAATTGCATAATTTGCCCCAGTGGTAGAGACGGTGATTGCATGAGCTCGGGTATAGTTTATCTGATCTCCTGTAAGACGTGTGGTGACGAATACATTGGCGAAACGGGTAGACCCCTCTGTGTCCGCATGAAAGAACACCTAGCCGGCAAAAATAGACCAAATACCCCGCTAGGCACGCATAGGACCCAGAGACATAACGGGGACGACTTCGAAGTATGTGTCACGATCCTCGCACGCGAATCGAGAACACAGGCGCGAAAAACCCTCGAGGCACTCTGGATTAATTCCAGAAATCCGAAAATGAACCGCAGGGAAGAATGCCTCATTATCACGCGTGATATAGGGCAGTATATAAAACTGCTTTTCTGATGTGAGGGGCACATTATACTTCCACGTGATTTCTGTGCGGTTGGTCTCTACGTGACATACTTAGTGGAGACCTCATAGAAAGCGGTGAGTGTGCAAAGCTGTGTTCAAAGTGATTGAAATCTTGGTTTGGGGTTTCTTTGTTTGGTTATGGAGGCGTCTGGCCTGAGTGAGTTGCTATCAACTTGACCTTTCCAGGCTCTGAAGAAGGCGAAATTCGCCGAAACGTCAGCTTAATCGTGAACAAAGAACAATAACACCTCGCGTTTGCTCAAAAAAAATACGAACAAAATCACTTAATCAATGCCGAGGTTAATAGAAAGTCGGTCGTGGCAGTTATAATTATAGGGTTCTAACGTCATAGGTGGCTCCATGCATCGTGAGCGAACGACTGAACCACTTATATCGTTCGCTAATGATGTCAAGAGATCGAGAACACGTGATGGACGTGAACAGGAGAAAAGTAGAAATATATTATAAAAGAAAGACGCACCATGAATATAAAAACGTTGCAAAGAATGTATTCACCATGCACCTACTTTTAGTAGCACAAGAAAGTCTGTTATTTGAAGTACAAATTTCCCTCGTAAGTGAATTATAAGGCTCTGCGGTAACTGTATTACAAGGAACAACTCAGGGAAAGTGACTTAGTGCAGTTCCAATTTCTTGTGCCGAAAGACCCAAACGTAAAACTTATTGACACATTCTATAAAGCAATTTATGCAGCAAAGCATCGGGCAAAAATCTACGTTACTAATTTATTTATGTCACCACTATTGTTATCTAAACGCCTTATTTTATTGTGGCATGGCTAGGTGAATAGTTCGGCTTGGTTTATTAGATGTCCGATTAAGAATCTCTCGAAGAAATATTCGTAAAGAAATTCGTCAATATGGAAAGCAAACGTGTTCTTCTGAAGTGCTGCTGGGCGCGAACGAGAGCCAGGTATTGGTATCACATTTTTTTCTTGAGTTTCGAGCTGCACCAAACGAGATGGTTTAGGCGGTTGAACCGATTTACCTTAAGAAACCGATACTGAAAATAGCTGCTCCATGCCCCTGTATATTAAACACGAAAAATATAAAGTTTATGTAAGCATATAGTCTATGTAAAATAGTTGATCCTACAAAAATATACAGTGAACACTGCTAATTTTCTGTCAAGAAGAAGAAGGTTATTTTTTTATGGAGCCTTAATAGAATTTGTAACACAGAGAATCCTATTTCAAGAAAACGTGACGAAACGCAAACCTGCTTCCTGGACAGATTCAGATTCCATTTGAGATCGAAGAAGTACTGCCTCTTGCTTTCCGTACATAACTCGAGAAACAGAGTTTTCTGTAGATTTGACAAATAAAACACTGATTTATAAGAAACATCGACTTCATTTTGGAATCGAACCAAAATCGCCAACAGCACCAGTATGGCTTCACAAACTGCATCTTACCCAGGTAATCCACTGATTTTGTCACAACAGATGGCTTGCGCTGGTACACCGCCTCACTACGATGTAAATCCTAGATAAACAAGTGAATAATCACTGAAAGAACCAGCGGCCGAAGCAAAGAGTTTACAAAAAAAAATATGCACCCTATGACTGGCTGCATTTAATCAAACGTTGGGAAAAATCTAATTATGACATAAATCTTGGACGCTATGAACCGCATTCCCCATAGTAGAGTTTAAAGATGAGTTTGAACTACAAATATACCTCACCTAAGCTTAGCCTCCTTATTACAGCCAAGAGTTTCAGAGTGTGAAAAACCATGGTGTTCGTCCCTCACATATTATGATCCTGGCCAGGAAAGAATTCGACTTTTCAATTTCGACGCCCAGCGGCGCGTTAGCAGATAACAGGACATAGAGCGCAAGATCTCCGATTTTGGAAAGGACGCTCTGTCACCGACATTTCAAGGCTGTGAGTAAGAGACTACTTATCCACAAGAACACACGTGGAAAGTGGTCAGATCAAACAACAAATGTAACTGGCACCAATTAAATGAAATCGCAAGATGTCAAAGTAACTGTTTCATGTTCAGCACCAAGAACACCCATCAAACAACGATCGATAGGACTTCACGAGGGTTCAGAACAATGAACAGAACCCAGACGAACAAGATGAGAAACGTACCTACTCAATGACACCGCTGCAGACTTAACCAACTGCTGTTCACAAGTGATGATGACTCTCTCGAACAATGTTACTGCTAATTACCAAATGCCAATGCTCTTGGCTCAACATCCTACTCTTAATAGAAAAAGTTACTACATTGGCTTTGATTTCTCTTCTCTTATGAGTATTCGATTCAGCCGTAAGCAATAAAAAACCCGTTATTGAAGAGAGGTAAAAATCATGAATCCAGAAATTGCTACGACGAAGTGACGCTATCACGCCAAATCTGTTTACATCTGTATTGCAGTGGGTGATGAAGTCACTAGACTGCCATTTAAGGACACAAGCATTCACTACTGGTTTTTCAGTCGTTGGAAAACTAACATCCCGGTCATGCGCTAATGAATTAAAAAAAGAATAAAGCTCTCGGCGTTGATCAATCTCTGAGGGATGCCATGTCATTGAATGCATATTTGGCCTTTGTAATGACTCGCGGTGGCCTACCGATGTATTGAGCCAGTGCCGCTATCCTCCTAGACAAGTTTGGTACGAATTCGCCGACCCCGGAAGGATGGAAGGCTTGGTGGGCTATGGGCGCTAGGATCGATTCGACGAGTGTGTTGCAGGGCACCTCCGACCACTGCGTCACACGCGCCCTATGTGCAAAGGAAAGGATGGAAATCTCACCTAATTCTCGTTTTTATTAATACTTCCATTAAACACTACCTAGTTGGTGAGTTGCACAGTGATAGTGGTGCCGTTTACCACTAGCACGGTGCGATCCCGCCACGATTCACTTATTCTCTCATCCTACAGCTGTCGTGAATTTGCTCGTAGATTTAAATTGTAGAGACTGAACACTAACACAGCAATCCTAGAATTCCAGGAGTAATCGACTCCACAATTCAACGACTTGCGTAACGAAGACGAAAATCCTCAAGCCGAACCTACACCCAAAAAAAGCTCGCAGTCCTCCATGGATGATGGATGCGAGAAAACGGATGGAATGCAAGGGTTTCTAGGATCCGGACAGTAGATGTGAAAACGCGTGATGTATGGAAACGTGGCAAAGACGGCCATGAAATATGTGACCATGAAAGATTAGAAAATGAGTAATATAGGCAGGAATTTCTAATGATTTGAAAGGATTGTTATTTTACACCACAACTACAAGTCAGTTAAGCTTAAACTCTCTAAGTTAAGCAGCTAGTTTATTTAACTAGTCTAGTGACGATCGATTTTGACTAGTGGCAATCAATACTACACTGGGGCACGCTAACATTTCAGAAAGAACATCGCATCCCGTTAAGATAAAGTTGGCCTATCGGAGATGGTAAAATACGAGATAACAGTAAAATTAACATTATCTATGAGTACAGCTGAAAACGTCTTGCACACAGATAGAAACGATAGCTGCAAATACACACCTGCGATTGGTCTTCTTCCTTAACTGGACAGGTGTGGACTATACTACTAGTATCCTCAGCGTCTCGATCTTTAGATACAGGGAAATCGTGCTCGATTGTTTTATATCTCTAAACACCAATAAACATATCTTCCAACTCATGCAAAAATGACTAAAGCAATAGGCTTTCGTTAGTAGATGGTATTAAATCCGGCCATCAAACCTACCATAGCTCCGTTGGTACAGTAATCTCAGAACAATTCTGATGACGTTATGGTGGAACTAAGCATACATTACACCGCCAAAATTACTACGAAAACTAGTTAAGGAAGAAAACATTCTTTCCACTTTTTCCATTCCTTGGGATTCCAAGAACAATCTAAGTGAAAACTGAGATTCACCTGAACTGGTTGTTCTCCTCGAACGTTCATTGCCCCTTGCACTGACTCCGTAATATTCTCTAGGCTACCTTAACTGGCACCAAATAAGCAGCTGCCAGTTAGAAGAAGGTGTGGAAACCATGAAATGTCGAGAACATACTACGAGTCTCGAAGAAAGCATCACACATCGTTTCCGTCACACTGTCGCCGCTGCGCAATGAACGAAAACGTGGAGCATCGACGGTGTCGAAGAGGTAATCGGAACTGTCCGTCATTACTACTGAAAAAAAAACCAAGGAGATTCAAAAGACTCGACTTCCTATAAATCGACTTCCTATAAACGTTGGCATAATATTCGTTATATCTGTGTACATGTTCTTGCGAACTGCCCTTTTTAAGCCAACGCGTAGTCAGTATAGATGTTCGTTTCGGCGACTTCGCCTCGCTCGGATCCCTGCCGTTGGACCACCTGTGTGTTGTTCACAAAGGATTAACATGAAAAACACCTTGTATACGACAAACGGGTAGACCAACGGCAAGTCTCTGAGGAAGACGAAGTGGCCGAAACGTCATTGAACAAAAACGTCAACAACAATGAGAATATCCATGCCAACATCGCGTCGGCTAAAAAAAGGGCACTTCGTAAGAATCAAGAAGACGACAAACAGCTAAGAAGAACCAACAAACACTTCATACAACACAGCAAACACGTTTCGAGGCATCCAAGAAAGCAATTGCTTTCTTGGTTCCTTTCGAAGAGACTTCCAGTTTTCTCGAATGAGAACAGTATTCATTCAATTTAGTAATCATCAATTATGCGCTGTTTTGCATGCTGCACGCAGGATTGTAAGGTAATTATGTAAAGAACAACCACATGGGTGAATCCTGTAGTACGTCAAGAGGGAGGTTGTGTTTCGCGCCCAGTGCAGGCAGCCGTCTTTTGCACAGGGCAGTTACCGATCCACTGCCATCGGATTTGATCTACTATTTTCGGCCGCAAAGCATTATTACATGAGACAGAGCGTACGATATTTTAGAAACTGACTTTCATTCAAGCTCAACAAGGCTAATCAATCTTTTCTTGGATTAGTCATTTGAGCTCCGTTTCTGTCCAGAAGATCCGACTCGATACGATGGCGAAGGAACACAGCACGAACACTGCCCTACCGGGGTATAAACAATCGGATCGATTCGGCTCAGAAGAAGGCTAAGGCGCCGGAACCTTACCCGAGTAGAACCTCTTATACCAACCCCTTATCAGCTTATGAAAATTGTAAAGCATCTATTGTCGTAGTCTTCCCTGCCTACAAAGCTTGCTCATGCTCTGAACAGTTTACATTTTAGAATGGTTGGAGTTTCGCTTCCTGGATTTCATGACTTCCCCTCCTTGAAAAAAAAGCTGTTCTGCACAAAGAAAGCAGTGTTGCAGTTCCATGTAGAATGTTTGGAACAGCAACGACACAAGCCAGACAAACCCTTCGATTTATAACGATATATTAGTCCATACTCTTTCAAAAGTATGGCCTGGTCATCAGTTTATGGGAAAAATCGATGTTTATCGACCCTTCAACACCTCACGTATGTCTCCCAATCAATTGATTGGTTGCCTTTAGCAGAACTTGTATGATATAATCGGTTGCACCAGCATGTATACCAAAGTCCAATAGGTATGAGTCAATTCCGCGCAACAGCAGCACTTAGTCCACCTCTAAAACCACCCACGGCTCATGTAAGCATGAGTTCCCGTTAGTCCCACCTCGCGATGAAAAGCCACTCTGTGCCACGACGAATAGCACCACACTGTTCGTACGCTGCTCTTTTTCAGACGGTTTTAGGTGACGAGGTATTTAAGAGGAGCCTGTTTGACCCCACGCGGTAGATTTACTTCTAGTTGGTCTTATGGATGGAAATTTCAAACTCTTTCTTACCTTAGTGAACCTGCTGAGAGAACGTTTGGATGCTTGGTTAAGTCCGTCTTCATTGGCAGCTCCAGCCTAATTTACATTCTGCAGAGATCTGCTGATTTAGTGGTTCCCTGGAGCCCTAAGGTCAACTTAACTGTAGCGTTCTTCGGATCATTACACCAGCGAGTCGCTGCCCCTGTGGATCAGAGGGAGATGTGCCACCCAGGTGGATAGTTTGATACTAGGACGGGTTTAATTCAAGAAAAAACTGCTTAACGGCACAAAGAGCATTGGTATTAGAAATAAACACAGTTACTAGGCAAATGCACTTTATACTTGACTTGTCATACAATAAACACTAATGATTTTATGCAGACAAAAACACCTCTCAAGCAGGGTAGATGGATTGCTTTGATCCAATCTTTACCCTACATAAAATAACCTCTCAACTGTAGCGATTCTTGTGCATGCCCTGTACCATACATTAGTCTCACTTACCAATTAACACTAGCAAGGATAGTTGTAATACTTCCTGATCCCTCGTGTCACTTTGCTCCGTTTATAACATTATTGTGTAGAGATACAAGCCCATGTAGCACAGTGGTCGGAGGTATCGTGCAAAACACATGGGATCGATCTCCATGCCCCAAGCTCTTCAAGCTCTCCATCCCTCCGGGGTTAGAAAATTGGTGCCCAGATTCCACTCCGTGGATATCAGCACTCGATGCATCGGTAGGCCACAGCGAGTCATTGTAAAGGCCAGTTATGCACTCAATCAGCTATAAACGATGCTTAGTGAAGTCGAATGGTGCATCCATCAGAGATTGATCAAGGCCTAGATGTTCATCCCTTTATCCTTCATTGTAGAGGGATCAAAGTTTTGCTATCTATTTACATATATTCATGTTCACCTCATTATTCCTTAGACGTACTGATATTGCATTATAAACGTTTAATTATTTTCCTGTGAGATCTGGGGCAAAAGTGCACCTTCCTTAGAGGCCCTAAAATCACACTAGGTTGCTACCAACATCTCATGAAACTTGGTTTCCATGAATTTACCGTATACGGGGTTAATACAAGAGCAAGCACTCGGCTTTAGCTTGAGAATCTTGGTCTTCCTTATGAATGCTGGTTAAGTATAATACCTTCTCCTTCCAATTCTGGAAAAGCCGCGCTGGGCCATCTCCAAATCCGGATTTTCACCACTGTCAAAATTTAATAGGCCTAGTGCAAGGTCGAACCACGACCTTGTGTGTACACAACAGCATCATTACCATTGTGCTTCACATACCCAGGAGATTTATATCAAAAATACACAGCAGTCCAATATTACATCTAGGAACATATCTGTTTATAACATACTGCAGTTCTATTATTTCTGAGAGACATAAATCTCGTCTTTGTAGACTTACAAAGCTATTAAATATACAGTATGAAACTACTGAATTAAGGATGGACATGTGATCGAGAACGATAATTTCTGAAGACACACGCCTTGTTGTAGATCTAGCAAGCTGCTCAATATTACAGTAATTAAACAAGTAAGAAAGCAAAATCAGTCACGGTAATTTCTCCAGACACATGTCTCACTCTTGCAAGATTCTAAAGTTATTCAACATTACAGTAAGAAGCTAATCAATTGAGGATAGAGAGCAGAAACAGGATATAATAGTTTCTCAAGACACACGTCTAGCGCTTGTAAACTCACAAAGTCACTCAATATTACAGTATGAATCTAACCAATTAAGGACAGAGTAAAACCTGGCACGACAATTTCTCAAGAGACACGTCTCCCCTTGTAAACTTTTAAAACTATTCAATATTACAGCAAAAATCTAACGAGTGATAAAGAAGACAAATCGGACGTAATAATTCCTCAAAACACAAGTGTCGCCCTTGTAAACTCATAAGGCTACTCGCTACTACAGTAAGAATCTAATCAATTAAGGAATTAAAGTGAAACTAGGTGTGCTGATTTCATAAGCGACACGTCCCACCCTTGTAAACTTATAAAAATATTCAATACTACAGCAATAATCAGCAATTAAAGTAGGGATCGAGGATAACAATTTCTAAAGACACATGTCTCGTTCTTGTAGACGCATAAAGCTATTCAATAAAAGTAAGAAACTAATAAATTAAGGTTACAGAATCGAAGGACAGTCCAATATTTCCCGAAGTCTATTTCACGCCTTGTCACTGTAAACTAATACAGCCATTCAGTATAGAGCAAAAAGAAAACGAATTAATTTAGGATATCACAGATGTGGGAAGCGAATAACATGGACGAATTAGTCTTCTTCCCATTGTATCCCTTTCTTGGGACGCTTTCGTCTTCTCAAGGACATTGTAGTGGACGGTCCCTAAAATATTTTAGTAACCAAAGCAATGTGATACACCACTAAAAAGTGATTTAATGCAGAACTTCTGTAATAGTGGACGCTCCAAAAATTATTTAGGTGAGGTGTTCACAGCTAGTTCTCACTCGAAGGAATATCCAAGATTAAGTAATTTATAAAACATAGTACAGTTTCCGACAGCTAGTTTTCTACCTAACGCCGCTATCGGCAATCACTCGTCAGCGGGATTGATCTAGGGAGCACAAATCGGCATTGAACCCAGTTAAGCCGAGGCACTAGCCGAAATCACCCCGAAAGGGTAATCGTGGTTCGACCTTACCCGGGGTTCAAGTTTTGCGAATATCTCAGCATCACAATGATGCCGCGATATTTGCAAAACTCCATACCGCAGGTGTCTCCGGTGGGAAAAGAATGAGCTATAACCCTTTCCGGGGGATAACGCGTCCACCAGCACACCATGCGGGTCCTTCGTTTCGCCTGTCTGTCAGGTAGTTTTCTGTCGTAGTTGTATTTCATATCATACTCTTCCGTGAAAAATTATAGTAGACAGCAAATAAAAGGATTACACAGTTTAATATTGATTGAGGAAACAATGGCTGATATGCTAAAATATTCTAAGTATACAAAAGAAAAAACTATGGAAAACACGAACCGCTTTATCCAGCTTCTTCTTTTCTTGATTGTCATTTATCAACGTCTGAAAGATTTCCTCATAGTATTAGCGTTTTAGAAAACCTATTTAACGGATATGATAGAGCAATAAGTCGGCTTTTCTTTTAGTTATAAATGCCAATAGCTATAACTTATGAAGCTTCACCTCAATGCAGTTCAACATCTCCTCCATAATTAATCTAATGCGGTTGACCTCTGAAACAAAAAACAAAACATAATAAGTTATGAAGATAACTCACAACTAGTTGTAAATCTTACCACGATTAACTTTAAGAATAAGGACCTGCTTCGTACCAAATGATATTGTGCAATGTGAACCCAATACTATGGAGGATATGATGAATGCTCTTCTCCCCATAGTTTCCCTAAAAACTATATAACTTCAAAATACAGTTGATAACTGACTAATACAAATGAAACACCTCCATATGGTTGGCAAAATTGTCTCGCTGACTTTGACAAATTCTGCTCGATCCTTTTCACTCAAGACTAACTCATACACTTCATCAATACCATTACAGACACCTAAATCGAAGTAAAATTTCGTAATCAACATTTTAAACTGACGCAGTTAATACTTTAATGTAGGGAATAGAATTTTGCTACTAATTTTCAGAAAACATTCTCCCTTTCAACATTCATTCAGAACATTCAGTTCCATAACTCTAAACGTTCGATGGTAATCTAGAGAAGTGATTGTACCGAAATGTGTACCAGCCCATTGACCTGCTCTAACACATCCACCCTGAAATTTCTTTTCCGATTTCCTAAAGAACTTCCTCGTCTTCTTGAAAAAAATGAATGTTCGCACAGAGATCATGGTGACCTGTTTCCTCATCCCCTCATTCTCTTGTGACCGATCTTCGCATTCACGTTTCCGACTGCAGAATGTGTGGTATTCTGGAACGAGTACCCCCGAAGTCAATATTGGCCCAGACATTTCAAACAGCTCCTGCTCGGGTCATTAGTGGTTTAAGAGGATGCATGTTCATCATTAAGTTCATTGCGGCAACGGTACAACTGCCAGATTTTCCACACCACATATTCCTTAACAACGACTCCTTTCCAACATCATAAAGCCATGTTTCCTCGACTGCATTTTCTTGCGTTAGCCGATCAGATGAAGCGGTATACCATCTTCCTGGACTTTCTCATTTAGCTCTCAATAACAAGCTCCAAATTCTAGCACGCGCGAATTGAAAGTAGAAATCTTTACCATAGAGAGCATTAAGATATATGCAGGTGATCAATATGACCTATAACACGTTTCTTGAACTTCATAAAAGAACCAATTGAGTGAAGCACTTTGTACACCCACCTAATATTCTTGGACCAGGAAGCCAATACACGAAATAGATGCGCTCTTCAAACGTAGTTTTATACATAGAAATCATAGCAAAGTGCAACTGAAATTTTGAACTATATAGTATATGATATATCAATGCATTAACAATTTAATATGTTTAATTTGTATTTATATAATACCGTACTTACTTACTTGGATGACCCGTCTTCACTAGTTGTGCGGGCCCCGGCATAATCTTCATTTGTTTGGAGCTTTGCTGGTTTAGCCACTGTGTTTTCCTGGAGTCCCGAGGTAAGCCCGGTCAGCCTGCCTCATGTCGTTACCGCCACAAGCTGTCGGCGCCCTTGTGGATCAGACGGAGATTTACCACTATGCTACTTCGATACCAGGACGGTGGTAAATCCTGGTACTGGTTTACCTCTTAGCTAGGCATCCTGATGGAAATGCCGGACTCCTTCTCAGCTTGGGAGACCCTGCCGGGGGATGAATCCCCTGCTGTACATCGCAGCCCGACACCGAGGAACATCTCCCAGCCACGATGATGTGGCAAACCGTCGGGATGATATAATATTGCATAAACGTTAATTCTGATATATTTAAAATAGATATTTAACACATATTTTAAAGTTTTAACAAAAAACAAAAGAGAAAAACTTCAGAAGCACTCCATCAGATCTCGATTCTTTCGAATTAAAAAATATTAGGTCAAAAGTGTTCCGCACAGAGAAGCCAAAGATGTGCACCATGTCGAAGCACCTCTAGTTTCCAATGCAGCAATAAACCCTAGCACTATTCCGTTTCGCTAACAGCTCATGACTTCCTGATCTGATACATCTACGGCGGTATATCATATTAATTTTGTGGTACGAAAATAAAGGCCGCTTTCAACTTCAAACAAACATTTTCCCTGCAATGGAGGTTATTAGTTGAAATAAAACGCGTTTACTCTTTTTTTTTCACTGAGGCAAGAAATTTAAACACCAAAGACGTTGAGAACGTTCGGCTTCTAAACTGCACTCAAGCAGTCGGTCGTTTATCATTCCTACTTTAATTTTTGATTTCGGTTCTAACAATAAGTCCGAATCAACTAGCAGGAAAACCAAACGGTGGATACCTCCCTCGGAACAACATCGTGGTGAAGACCTGAAACCGCTCCTTCAAGGTTAAGTCAGAACTCCAGGGAAGATCAAATTATCCAACCAACAATAGACCAGCCTCAGTTCATCGCATCATCGCAAACTGTGTTCTCCGTTTATGATAATAGGCGATGAGACGAGCGGTGAGAAACCAAAAAATTACAACTTACGCAGCACGTCGTTGGAACCGGATCTGACGAATACATATACAACATGCCATGGAGATCGCTACTCACTCTAAACATATGGCACCAGAACGCTCTCCTTAGACGCCGACCTTCACGTTCCTCTTAAAGCCGGAAATCGTATCAGATTCCATGTGGTCGTCTAACAAGAAACAAAAAGCAAGAAGACCGACATACACTCGATAAATAACGGGGCCTTTTTCACCCGCGGAGGAAAGATTCCGTTACGAAATGTCGGTGCAGGTTTTATCGTTCACCCGTCCATTGTCCATCTCGTCAACTCATGCGAGATTCTTTTTCCTCACATGACCGTCCTCCGTCTTCAACAAACGCGTCATAAGGAAGAACAAGATGTTCAGTTGCTACTCACCGACCGATGTTGCTGATGATAGCGAATCAGGTGCGTTCTACTACCACCTGGAGGAAGTTATCCGAAGCGATAAAGCTCATTATAAATTTCTTATCGGAGAGTTCAACGCCGGAATAGAAAAGACCAAACACATCAGACATAGAATGGGAAAACTTGGACTAGAAGGAAAAAATGAGAACGGAAACCGTCTTGCAGAACTCCTGTCTGCAGCACGCCTCTTCCATGGATACTCGTCCTTCTAGAAGAAGGGAATTCGCCGCTGAAAATGAGACTGCTAACGGCGTGTCTCATGCGAAGACCGAGCACATTCTGACAAACGGAAAATGGCGCCAACTTGACTTACCATCGTTCTGCACTGGGTGCAATCACCGCCTTCTTCGTGCGAAGATTCCATTCAGCCGTAATGCAGAAAAGAACTTATGTCATCGACCACGAAGAAAAAGTCCGGCTATATATCATAGGAACATTCTGAGTGAAATCCTATCCAAACGTGGCTGGAAAATTAAGGAAGACCCGATCGAAGAGTACGAGCTAGTTTTCAAAGGACTGCAAAATTGTGCTGAAATTTCCTCAGCTCTCGGAGAAAGAAGATCGTATCTCATCTCCATTACCACTATGGAGTTGCCTGAGAAGAAAAGGAAACTGAAGGTCGAACCTTGTGCAACACGTGTAATACAGCTGTTAATGAATCCTAGTTGCAGAACAGCTTTGAAGGAATATCCACATCGGTACAAACGGAATAAACTATTAGAAACCGCGCAAAAAGAACTAGTCTGAAGAGTTGCCATAGAGACTTGTGCGAATATAGCTACAATTTACATGTATTTATCGTAACCCATATGATATCCTACACTCGAAATTCAAAAATCCCCAGGCCAGTAGAGAATTTCGCGCATGACCATCGTGCGCAAGAAAGGTGATCGAAGGGATTTGTAATTGTCGCCCGATATACTTGTTGAGTTCACATTACAAGACTATCATGAAGATTATCTTGCCGCGTATATCAAGGGCATTGGATGAGACAAAACCATTTAAGTAGAAATAATTTCGACAACAACAAAAATAAATACTCAACAAAAAACAAAAACAAAAAAATATGCAAAATATGTTTGCTCAACAAAAATATGAAGAATTTCGACAGAGATTTTGCAGGATGGACAACACCTAAACTGTGCCCAAGACCAGGGAGGTTCGTCGAGAACACCACCTACACCCATTGCTAACTACCTTATGCTAACTATGAAAAAGTTTCTGACTCTTGAAACGAACGCAATTCTATCATCGCTTGTCGACCAAGGAGTGGACCCAACCTATATACGAACACTAGCGTACTGTTAACGGAACAACAGCACAAATACACAGCTTCTTCATCGGCGCCTTACCGGGCCCATGAGAAAAGTGGTTCAAAAAGGCGACACAGTATCGCCAATGCTGTTGATTGCCGCATTGCAGTGGATAATGATGTCACTCGATTGGGATGGGAAAGGCATACGTATTGATGGGAAATCCCTATGAAATCTTCGTTTTGCTGATGACATCGTCATCTATTCGAAGACACCCACGGATACAGAGAGGATTCTCGATGAACTCATAAGAACGAGAAAAAAACTGACTGCGCTTAAATAGAACGAAGACCCAGTTCATAAACAACACATGATGGGAAAGCAAATATATCAAATTAGGCTGTGCTCTTATTACAGAGACCACATCGTTCTTGTATTTGAATATTCAATGAACATAGACAGCAACACGCAATAGGAATTAGTTAGAATGGAAACAGCTCGGGCAGCATTCGGGCCTCTCAATGGAGCCACCAACCAACAAAAAACCCGAAAATCAGCGCTCATCACGATTCAGCAGTCCTCCTAGAGCTCTGTTATAGAACAGAGACGTGGAATAGTACTTCAACTACGACAAGAAAACTGCGCATTACTCACAAAATGCTTGAACGATGTCTTCTGAAATACAATCGGCATGCACAATATTTAGCGTGGATGTGAAGCTCTGATATTCTAAATCTTTACCATCTTCGAGAGCCACGAGACTACACATCGATAGCGAGACATAGATGCGCCAGTTATGTAATAAAAACACACTACAGATGAACCAAAAAACTGTAGCATAGATTCCGCGACAATACAGGCGCCCTCTAGAACGACCATCTCCACGTTGTACTAAAGTATTAATATCTATAATCAATCAGCTTTATTCGCACCTGCAGTTGTTTCACAGATTACGGTACAGCACGAGCGCCTGTCACCACTGACGACCACTGCGATGAAAAAAGGCGAATGGAAAACGTGCTGCGGTCCACACAACTCGTGAACATGAGCAGTCCAAGCAACCTACTTACTTGGACGGCCTGTCCTCAATGGTTGTACGGACTCCAGCATAATCTCCATTTTTCGGAGTTTTGCTAGTTTAGCCATAGTATTTTCCCGGAGTCCAGAGGTAAGCCTGGCCAAAGTCTGCCTCAGGTCGTCACCAGGTAGTCCCCGTCCTTGTGGATTAGAGGGAGATTTGCCAGCATACGACTAGTTTGATACCAGCACGGTGGTAGATCCGAAAAATGGAGATTATGCTGGAGTCCGTACAACCAGTGAGGACGGGCCGTCCAACTATCCAAGTAGGTTGCTTGGACTTCTCATGTATTGGTTTACTCTCACCTGGCCTCCCTAATGGAAACACCGGACTCGTTCTCAGCTTGGGAGATCCTGCCGATGGATGAATTCTCCGCTGTACATCGCAGCCCGACACCCAGGAACACCTCCCAGCCAAGATGAGGAGGTAAACGGTTGGGAGGGGCGTTCCCTATCCAAGTAACTATCCAGGGTATTTGAAAAATGGGATTTTGTCAAGTCGGACACAATTGTACTCCACAAGAAATTGTCAATGCTCGTCGCTGTCTCGCTTAGGTAGGAAAACGTAAAAAACTCAAACGTCTTTCAAATGTCTGTGAATCCTAATTGTAAATAAATTTCAAACCGAAACATTTAACAAAGATTACATTTACCATTGAATTCGTAGAACAAAAGCCATCTCCATAAATCCACAATTTCTAGAATATTCTAGTATTCGAGAAAATACCAGCATTTATTTGGAAATGGTACGATCGCGAATGTGTTAAGAATTTCAAAGGTAAAATGCTACGTTTACTACGGATATCGTAAAATTCACAAAGTAGCGCGAAATTCAAGGTAAATAGAGATGAAAACTGGAATTCGAGCACAACTTCCTCGGAAACAATTCTTAGCGGTCTTATTTAAAAAAGCTAACTTACTTGCGGTGGGAATCGTTGGCAAAGAACTTCGTGCTCACCACCGCATTGCTGAAGAGTTTGCAAATAAAGAGACTTGCCCCACAACAACAAGAAATTCCACCATCATTAACTCCTCTGTGATGATACGATATGGGTAACTGTCTCGGCAGTAGAATGGACTGCACATGATGAAGGCATAAATACATTTATTTCTCTACTAATAAGCTAAGCTTTTAGTAACATGAAGCTACCACACCGACATAAAACTTGATAATATACAGTTATGGAGGTTGGTGAAGAAAACAAAGCGCACCAGTGTTGTAGATTCTTTTCGAGGAATACTGAATGTGCCGTATATTATGAACTGAAGGGATTAATGAGACCGCGAAAAGAACATGGAAGAAAAATCACAGAGCATTAGTCTAAAGATTAAACTCTTCAAAAAGAAAATCTACGCAAAAAAAAATTGACTAAGAAATGAAAATGAGCAAATGATTTCGTAAGCAAAAGTGATATCCTATAATGAGCAAAATCAGAGATGTAAAGAAGAACAAAGTAGTTTGAAAATCAAAGATAATATCGTACAATGAGTAAAATCAGAGAGGTCAGACTAGCACAGTATCAGATCGACCAAGTACATATCGAAAGTGAAAGCCGCCAAAACTGGGTAAAACACCTTAAAAGCCTAAACTGTCCTCAAACAAGACGATAAACGAGTTCTTATGGTCATCTTTCTCCTCACACACATTCGACTCTGAGCTTTCACAAAACCGAAAAAACCGTTCTATCATTGACAACGAATTCTACACGGACGTAACGATGCACTGAGCATAGAAATAACCTAGGGCTCCGAGGTAAGAGCTTGAAAATTGGTGAAGAAATGGGATAAGCTTTGTTGATGCTTAGATAAATTTGTCCTTCCCAATTAGTGGAACACAGTTCAACTTGAGAAATTAACCACGGCGAGCAGTGGTAAATTTTGAAAATCTCATGATACTAATATAAAACAGGTGGTGAAAACGCCATGAAAACCTCATGATATTGACATACTTATAATACAAGCATGAGGACTATCTATGTCCGAGGAACTATATCCACTGAAGAAGGTGACTTAGGTGGTGGGTGGAGCAGCTGTGACTGCTTGGTGAATAACATACCAGTCATGTACGTACATCAAGATACAAAGTGGTTGTCCAAGAATCAGAGAAAGCCAGACAACAACGTTACCTGGGAATAAATAATTATTAAAACAACGAAGTTTATCCAATTGAAATATTTTAGCAAAAAAAAAATCGAAGCAAGCAAAAAGTGATTGAGACATCCGACTTTTATCGGGTCTAAGGACCAATCTTTTCATACTAGAACTTTGATGCTATTTTATTGTATTCCGCTAAATTTCCACGTAATCATTAAGCTCACGATAAGACCAATTTATTCCACGTTTGGAGTGGTACCGCTATGCTGCTCACACTAATGAATTCTCAGCTCAGCAAGTATAGCTAGACCATGAAGGGAAGGAACACCGTGCATCCCACTCCACTGAGCATCTTTTAGGTGGCTCAATGCATATTTGGCCTATGCGCGGCACACCAGTGTATTACACCAGTGTTTACCAGCCCGCAAACAAATCTGATATAAATTTGCTGACCCCGATGAGGATGGCACAGTCACTAGTAGCGTGGGGTTGAATGAACCGCTATGCGTATTACAGGACATCTACAATCGCTAAACCAAAAACGACTTTCATGATCATTATAGGACCTGCTTTAATCCTTTACAGGTATAGTGAGAGAACTGGGAAGGTTTAGGCCTCTATAGACATGTGGGATCTCCCTCATATGAGGGATCTCTAACCGGTTAGTCCCGAGACTACGTGGCGCGTCCCCAGGTGGCGAATAGGGGGTTAAACGCGGACCAAAAGCGACCTATGCTTCCGTGAGACGAAGGTGGATATAGAGGATGGACTCGCTGTTTCTGATGCGCTGATTTGGCACATACTTCTGTATTTGCCAGGCGTATTCATGCATGCGCATGTGGGTGCCTTCTTGCTTATTCAAATTGTATTCTACGAGTCCATTCAGCCAAAAATCTGCAATCAAGTGACCGGAAAGTATATTGGAGGCGTTTAGGAGTCGCCTCCAACAAATAGGCTCCATGTCCACTCTGGGATGGTTTGGCAAGCTACCCGTGAGTATACCCAGCTCCAACGTTCAGAGCCCAGCAAGCTACACGTGGGTATCAAAAATGAAAACACAGTAAAAAAAAAGGGCTTCATTCCCCTGACCCCAAAAGAGCCCCCAATTTTGCAGCGTTGGGTAGGACGAGTAAGGAGAAGCTGCTAAAATCTCACGGACAATGGAAGCTGCCAGGATCACGAAGAACTAAGGTGACAAACCGTACGTACAATGCACGCACACTTGCACGTGAGTCCTCGATAGAAGACTTGATCATGCGAGCAAAAAGGATAAGGTACGACGTCGTCGGCTTGGCCGAGACAAGAAGACGCCAGTCTTTCAACGCCGTCTATGACACCGATGAAGGACTGCTCCTCGGAACATGCTACAGTAGAGGAGTAGGCGGCGTCGACGTTCTTGTCAACACGAGTTTGCCCATGCACATCGATTCATTCGAACAACCTACAACACTGATCGCACGTTTACGATTAAAGCGATGTGGATCAATATTGGCAATGACAATCTTCGTCGTTTACGCGCCGACATTAATCTATGACGAAGAAGAAGTCGAAGCACTCTATATGGACTTGGAGAAATTTTTACAGAGATGACCACACATTCTTCAAGGTCACCATTGGAGATTTCAACGCCGAGATTGGACGAAGAGGAACGTCTGAAGAACGTCACTTTGGGACCCACGGATTAGAATGGAACGAACAGGGTGAGCAGCTGAGTTTATCACGGCGACCAAGACAATCCATGGGAACTCGCAATTCCAGAAGCCCCACCCTCAGCGCTGGACATGGGAGTCTCCCAATGGAGAGTTTCATATCGATATAGATCACAACATAGTAAACCGGTTTCGCCTAACCGATGTCGCTCTAGTCCCAAAACTCTACCTAGGATCAGACAACCGTCTCCTTCGTGCAAGATTCCATTTCTCGCAGAAAGGAGAAGAAGCCGCAAAATTCAAAAAACGAAGTCGCAGAACCACCGTAAACTGAGACTTATTCAATTCATCAATCGGCTGATACCGTTGTCGATAACATCGACGAAGAATACGATCGGCTCATTCAACATCTTCACGTTAGCGCTATGAAAGCTGAGAGTTCGAAAGTCACTGAGAGACGGCTATCTCCAGAAACACTCGAGCTGATACGCCAGTGTGGAATCGCACGAGCTGCAGCCAACCGCGAACTAACGTCCGAACTTGCAAAACAATGCAGACAGGTCATAAAAGAAGATCTTAGAGAGGGAAGAGCAGCAGTAATGGTCGAAGGTGCAGAGGCTGGGAAAAGCATTTGCAAAGCCCACCGAAGCTTCGCCAATTACAAGACCAGAATGATTGCAATTGATGAAAATGATCCAACGACCAGATGGAAGAGTTACAGCGTCCAGAAAGGTAATGGAAAAAATCATTCACGAATACTACTCGAATCTCTTCGATAGCCACGTCCACCTTCCGTCATATGAAATAAAGGAGGATGGGTATGTTGTACCACCGGTTCTCTCCTCCGAAATCCGAAATGCCATTTCGTCGGTGAAAAATCGAACGGAACCAGGTCCGGACAGGATAAGATTAGAACACCCGGAGAACCTTCCGCCAGTCCTCGTAAACAAATTGGCCCGGCTCTTCACACATTACCTGTCTTATTGCAAGGTTCAGTGGAAGACCAGCAAGACCGTGTTATTGTTCAAGAAGAGTGACCTGCACGATATCGGAAACTATCACCCAAGCTGCTTGCTGTCTGTCGTCTGCAAACTTTTCACTGGAGTCGTCCTAAACAGGATTTACAGAACACTAAACCAAGGACAACCATGTGAGCAAGCAGGGTTTCGAAAAGGATTTTGTGCAATGGACAACATCCACACTGTAACAAGGCTCATTGAAGTATCGCGAGAGTACAAAAGACGGCTCTGTCGCAATTTCATCGATTTACAGAAGGCCTTTGATTCATTTGTGATAGAAGCAGTCTTGGGAGCCCTAATCAAGGAGTCCCTACTCAGTACATAAAGATTCTTCGTGAGTTGTACAAAAACTTCACAACCAAAATATCACCATTCTACAACGATATTAACGTCGACGTCAAAAGAGTGGTTAGGGAAGGCGATACCATCTCGCCAAAATTATTTACCGCCACCCTCGAGAACGTCATGCAAACATTGGAATGGGACAGCGTGGAAGTGAAAATCGATGGACGGCAATTACACCATCTTGGTTTTGGTGGTGACATCGTCTTTACAACACCAAACATTAGCCAAGCGGAACGTATGCTTGATGACTTTGATAAAGCCTGTGGAAAACTTGGTCTTCGACTAAATCTCACAAAAACGATGTTCATGAAGAACGGATTGGTTTCGCATGCCCCACTCAACAGAACGAATATTTCTAAGTGTTCCAGTTATACCTATCTAGGTCGGGAAATCAGTATGATGAACGACCTAGCTCCAGAGCTGAGCAGAAGGAAACGAGCGGCTTGGGGAGCTTTCAAGAGCGTCGAGGATGTATTTAAGAGAACAAAGAACACCCGACTCCATGCCCACCTTTTTGACTCAACGGTACTTCCTGCCCTAAGGTATGCATCAAATCGGGTCGCTGCATAAGCAGGATGAAAGGTCACTCAGCGTTATCGAACGAGCAGTCGAAAGGGCAATACTGGGAGAAACCCGTTCCACACAAATAAGGGATGGGATCCGAAGCTCCGATCCGCGTCAACGATCAAAAACCAAAGATTCCGTTTTGTACGCCAAACAGTCGAAGGCGGGCCGGACACGTAATGCGTATGAATGGCAACCGATGGACAAGAGCCGTTAGTGACTGGATTCCTCGAGATGTCAAACGCACTGCAGGAAGACCACCGACTCAATGGTCAGCGTTCTTCACAAGAAGCTTAGAAGAAAGATATGATGTTCGACGAGTCCCTAAAGCGAGCAGGACCCACTGGACTACTTTTGCACGCGACAGGGGAAAAAATGGAAGATTTAATGGCATCCGCTCTAGCCACTCGACGATCAAGATGACTACAGGTGATACGGGTGATAGACATGTGAGAAGTAATGATCATTGCTATGGAACCCTTGGTTTAGCTTCGTGTATACCACATTCGAAACTGAGAACAGTTCACATTAATGCAAGGAATAAGGAGAAAAGAATCTATGAAATCAGCTGACGAACGTACCTGCCCGACCACCTTTGATAACATGATCTGTAATGAACGAAAGGGGAAGTTGAGCCATCATACCGTAATAAGCCCATAATCGAAACATGTGTAGTGGGACAGATACCTTAAATCAAATGGAAAATAAAAAGTAGGGAAGTCTAAAACAACAGACTTACCAAATATTCGTGAAAGAAGGCCGATACAAAGAACACAACAATCGTGGCGCTTATTTTGCTGAAATTAGTCGAACCAGGACTACCGTGAAGCCAAAAACATCGAAAAAATCAGTATGATATAACACTATGTCAACAATCGATCTACCTATAGTTGTTTCGCATCATCGGCAAGTAAATATGCCTGGTAGCCCAGCGATGTACAGGTATGTTCCAGGTGCGCCAAAAATACTGAATGGTCTCCGAATTCCAGAAGTCACTGAACTCCAATTATTGAACTTCACAAAAAAAGAAAGATTAGTTCAAAATTTAATACTTCTAAAAACGAAGAGTAAGTCAAAATCTAATAATGACTCCATGTACCGGTAAAACTCTCTGTCCGCAAATCTCAATACCTCTGCCAAGAAGTTCAACGCAGCGTGGAATATTGCATAGAAACAGATTAACCAAATAATGATATTTGGGATTGCTAGTTTCAGCAGTCTTTCGAGACACCTAAAATCTTGTTAAATTGCTTAAAACTTATCAAACAGAAGTTGGATACGCTTACGACAGTAGAAAGATAGAATCTCACAACAGACCTTCCAATCTCCATCTCACTCAGTGGCCGCATACTGTTGTGAACTGTTGGCACTACCCACTGTTGTATAAGCGCCGCTATTAGAAAGGTGAGAAAGAACATCTAAATTTTAAATGAAGAAGAAAGTGAGGATTGTGATGGCAAATCACAGTTTTCAAAAAGTAAACTGTGGTTTTAAACCGGAAGTATTATTCCATTCCTAAAGCGTTACCTCAATGAATCGTTTTATAAGAAAAGTTTTCCTTCGACGGACAGACAGAGGAAACTTCAATTCATAGCAAAGAGTTGGTGCTAGCATAAAGTAATAGAGATTACACAAGGTCAAGCTGCCAGGATAAAGTGAGGTCATTTTTGTAGTGGATACCTGGAAAACAGTAGTTTATAAGTCAGAAAGCAACTCATGAGAATAGAATAACGACTTTGGAGAGATGAATTCAAATTTGCTACTGTTACCTGAAAGTTATTTAGAACGGTTACATACTTAAACAGAGAAATACTTTGTGTTGATAACGAAATGGTGGGAACACCATCCAAATACTTCCATCCAAGATTCTCCAATGTAAAAAAAGGACCATGAGATTTGATTTAACACACGTACACGATTACATATTGACCGACCTCAGGACTCCACAGTGGTTAAACAAGTAAAAACTCCGAAGCAATGGGAATTATGCTGGGGCACGCACAACCACTGAATCGGGTCATCCAAGCATCCAGGTAAGTTATATGACTACAGATATCACTCAACGAAATCATCATTCAACAGACGAAAACGTATGACGTTTTACAGGTCGTGAACAGTAAATAACAAGGTGGTCAACCAAAAGAAAGCGAATCAGAGCGATTGCTAGTTCACTCTGACAAAACTACGGATGCTGGAAAAGGGGTCTTTGCCTTTGTTGCGATGTATGTAAAAATACACTGCGTACGTACACATATGCATGTGCCGGTGTACTTACATGAGCAAATATATATATATATATACGTACATACATGTGTATATATATATATATAAACGTATACATGTATATATGTACGTATATATACGAATACATATACATGTTTATACAAATAAAAAAAAGGATAAAGCTTTCAGTGTTGATCAATCCCTAAGGGATGTACCATGCATTTGACTTCATTAAGTATAATTAGAATTGACTGAATGCATATCCGACTTTTACAATGACTCGCGATGGCCTACCGATGTATCAAACCAGTGCTGCTATCCTCCAAGACAAGCTTGGTATCAATTTGCCGACCTCGGTGGGTTGGAAGGCTTGGTGGGCCATGGGTGAGGAGATCAATTCCACGTGTGTGTCGCAGTGGAGTATATACACATATATGTCTATATACATATGTATAGTAATAGTTCATAGTTCAAGTAACTCGACGATTCACATGAAGACATGTCGTATGGGTGGACGACATATGCAACACACAAGTCCAAACCAAAACTTACAACCAGTGCCCCTGAGTAAACGGCAATTCGTCTAAGAATTAGGGTCAGAGTTTAATTTTTCGCAAACTGCTGATAATTATTCGATAACTAGAATACGTTAAAGAAATGAAAACATGATTTGATTGTAAAAGACCCTGCTCCATCTATTTAAGAGTATAAATAGTCCATCAGAACTGTTATGTAGTTTTTTTTAAGTCTTCTTAAGTTAAAAATTCAGAAAGAAATGCAAACAAGATGTAACCTGAATTTTAACTTATTATTAACTGCCTACCCTTTTTAATCGCAGGGTATATATTGCGAAATATAACTTCAATGATGCTGAGATATTTGCAAAACTCCGGACCGCACGTGTCTGCGGTGGGGAACGAACGCGTTATTATCCTTCCCGGGGAGTAATGTGTTCACCACCATACCATGCGGGTCCCTCGTTTCGCCTGTCCCTCAGATAGTTCTATTGATCTTTGCCACAGCAATCATCCGTCAGCGGGATTGATCTGGGAAGCCCTAATCGGCAACGAACCCAGTTAAGCTGAGGCCGTAGTTATAATCACAATTTTAACTTATTATTTACTGCCTACTCTTTTTAATGATTTAATCAAACCCGCTAACGGGTGACTGCTGATGGCAAAAGATCGATAGAACTAGCTGAGAGACAGGCGAAACCAAGGACCTACATGGTGTGGTGGTGAACGCGTTACACCCCGGAAAGGACAATAGCACGTTCGTTTCCCACCACAGACACCTGCGGTCCGGAGTTTTGCAAATACCTCAGCGCCATTGAAGACACGTAATCTATCGAAGTTCAAAACAAATTCCCAGAAGTCATAATCAGCAACACATCTGGGATTCTAATGGATGAAACAAAAATTGTTCAGCTGCTTTCATTTTCAAAACAGCAACCTCGAAAAAAAAGTGCACCAAATACGTTTCTCGAGCTTCAGAAAATCAGAATTTTCCCTTGGCAAAAAAAAGCCTTTGTCCTGTGTGCAAAAAGTTTTTGGAATCAAATGATTTTTATTGGAACTAAAAAACACTGAGCAGAGATATGTTGGCTTCAAATAGGTGGGAACCAACTCACGTCGGCCCCTAAATGTTAACTTAATACCAAACTTCCTACGAATACGATGTGCTGTTACCTCAAAAGTAAGTACGATGTTCATACTACGTGTAAGAGAACAAAGAGCAAAGCTCTAAGCGTTTATGTATCCTTGAGGGATGCGCCATGCATTCGACTTCATTACGCATCGCTGATTGCGATTGAATTCACATCTGATACTTAAAATCTCGCGATAGCGTACCGATGTATCGAGCCAGTGCTGCTAGCCTACCAGACAAGTCTGATACCAATTTGCCAACCCCGGGGGAAGGAAGGGTTTGGTGAGTTTGGGCGGCAAGGATCCATCCCATGTGTACTGCGGGGCGCCTCCGACCATTGCGGAACACGTACTCCTCATACTAGACGCCCGCAACACATATGTACAACAGTAACTGGACTAACTTCGCCTTTTGTAATATCCATCTTCTTCGACTCCATAACCGATTCCGACCGTGTACATCTACACCAATAATTCACGTGCACATATGAGACCAGTTTGAGTGATTCAATAACAAAAATAGATAAGGCACAAACTGAGCACAATGGATTGTCCTGAAAGTGAATGGTACTTAATGGAACTATTAAGGAAGTAATGAAACAAAACCAGCTTCCATATGAATGCGAACCACAGGCTCACCTTTAGAAGAAGTGTTACAACGGCGGGGAAAAATAAGTGTGCAACAATAAGTAAAGGATAAAACACACCAGCGAAATAGTTACCAAGGTAACCTTTTTCTGAAAAAAAAGGTCAAAACTAAAAGTGCACGCGCCATTGAAAGCAATCAAAGCAATCATCTACTTCATATTGGTCACAGGTAAGGCAAATTCCATCATTCAACACACCGTATTATTAAAAAAGCCCTCGGCGTTGATATAACGCTGAGGGACGCACCATGCATCCGACCCTGTTAAGCATGGATGAGGGTGACTGAATGCATATCTGGCCTTCACAATGACTCGCGATGGCCTACCGATGTATTGAGCCAAGCCAGCTATCCTCCCAGACAAGTCTCGTATCAGTTTGCTGACCTTGGAAGGATTGAAGGCTTGGTGACCCCGGGGGGTGGGGATCAATCCCATGTGTATTGCAGAGCGCTCCCAATCACTGCGCTTACACGCGCCACTTTCGAATGTTGTAGCATTACATATCAATGCAAGAACTTATTTCATGGATTTCCGATTTATATAAATGAATTACACCACAAATTGTATTTTTAAAAAACTTAAGGATTACAATTTAAGACTTCTAAACAGCAATTTTGACAAGTCTACTACAAATTTGTATCTGATCGTATGCACCACCAACGGTCCGAAACTTTAAAGAGATATGGGATCGAGGAAAAGCTAAAGAATGAGGAGCACAGCGATGGTTTCAAAAATTTCGTCGTTGCGCATTCAACTTTGAAGATGAATGAGATTGCAGATATCCATCTGCTATTGATGACGATGAATGGCTTTGGAAGCAAATATTTGTAGGAGTGCTCGGGAACATCCAGAAGAACTCGATGTGAGTATCCCATATGTTTCGAAGTATCTAATAAAATCACAAAGTCGAGAAATCTCGACAAATAAATGCCGAATGAATTGGACAGCATTCAAGAATTTGCCGTTTAAAGGTATCGTCGACGTTCCTTCTGTGGAAGCACGATGCGTTGCTCGACCGTATCATGAAATGTGACAAACTGATGCTCTAGCACTAAGGGCGAAATGGGCTCATCACTTCGGCCAGGCCTAAGCTCTGCACTACTCAACGAAGCTGAAATTGCACTAAAAAAGTTATGCTGACCGTTAGATAGTCTACAACTTTCTGAATCGTGGCAAATGGTTACAGCAGAGTACGTCCAGTAAATTCAAATCTGCAAGAAACGTCAACGGCTGTTCGTTGCGCTAATAAACAGAAATAGACCAATCCTTCGCAATAGCGCGTGGCTGTACGTCGCATTACCGTTGCAAAAGTTGAACGAGCTGTGTTCCAAAACACTGCCTCATCCGCCATACTCGACGGATCTCTAGCCTTTCAACAACCACTTCTTCAGGCATCTCTAAAGTTTCTTGTGCGATGCTTCAGAAACTAAGACTAGGCTGAAACTACCCTTAACGACTTCATCGCCTTCATAACTCTAGAGCTTTGTTCAACCGCAATGTACAAACTTGTTTCTCGCTGGCAAAAATATATAAGTGCTAATCAGCCTCATTTCGACTTACAAGGTCTATACTGAGTTTAGATATGCCACTTTAATGATTAGGAAAAAGGATAAAGCCATCGGCGTTGATCAATCCTGAGAGATGCGCCATGCATTCAACTTCATTAAGCATAAGAGTCCCACTCGTAAAATCACGGCTCTGAAGGCGAAATCGCTGTAACGTCAGTCACCGACCAACGACACCAACAACGACAACAACAACGACAACGAAGAACCAAACCAACATCGGAACAGCTAAAGAAGATCAGTTTATAAGATCATATAAATAAATATAACATTAAGCATCGTTGGAGGTCACTGAATGCATATCTGGCCTTTACAATGACTCGCGGTGGCCTACCGAGGTCTCGAATCGGTGCTGTTATCTTCCTGGGCAAGTTTGGCACAAATTTGCCGACTCCGGAGGACTGGAAGACTTGGTGTGCCATGGACGCAGGGATCGATACCATGTGTGTTGCTGCAGGGCGCCTCCGACCACTGCACCACACCCACCCTTGTCGATAAGACGACAAGACTTTTTGTTCCATCCAGACTGGCTTAGAAGTGTTTGAATTTCTAGAAATTTTCCCACTTTAATCAGTTTTATCGACTTTAATGATACACGTTAAAATTGTGCACTAATTCTTGAATAATTTAATATGCCACACCTCTCTGCGAGACCATACCTCAGAGAATCTCTTCCAATTCAAGGGTAAACAGAGTAAATACATGTACAAACTCTCATGTTTCCCATCGTTTGGCGTAGCTATTACGTCTTCTTTCGTGTATTCGAAAAACGTCACAAAATCTGGTAAGAGCTATCTTCCCTAGCTACACGAAAAAAAAGAGGTTGTAGCACTCACCAAGTATTTTTTCCGTTACAAAAACAGTTAATATTGTGATGTTTGAAAGGAGAACAAGTGCAAGATTAGGCCAATTCCAAACCGATCCTTCCACTATCATGAAGGATAACCACTGTAGCGGCGAAATCAAAATACCGTACTTTATAACATTTTCCAGTGCCAGGCGACCGTTTGACACTATCTGAAAGGTATGTTTTTGATCACATTGTGTTATAAACAAAAAACATTGATCAAAGCCGTACCAGTAAAAGCATTGCTAAATTGAAGAATCCTCGGTAGTTCGTAAACCCTGAGCTAGTGCTGAACAGTGAATCTTGTGGATGGTGAACAATCTTCTCGTGGGGTCTGGAATCAGATGTTCTTTATATTCTATGCATTTTGGTTAAATGGGAAGCGTAAAACGAACGAAAATTGTCACCGTAAAGTAATAACAAGAACGATATAAGCAAAAACACAGAAACATAACCTTTTCACCGAGTCTTCTTGCTTTTTCTTAGGAAACGACCACTTTCGCGCTGACGTCGTCGGTGTCGAACTGTCGTTGCTGCTGGCTTTTGAGTCAGCAGAAGACCGACGACGACGGACCTCTTCCTCGAGATGGCCCATGCTTCGCACGAATATCTGCTCAGATCTGATGCACACAGATGTTCAAAGGATCCGAATAAGGAAAAAACAAAAAACAGCGGAAATTCAACTATACAATAGGTATAATGACCTTCGAAGCGAAAAGCTTAAACATAGTCGTACGTTAGGCTAATGCCTGCTCACTAGGACTCACTTGGCCGTACTTTAGACCAAAGCCTGCTCACTAGGGCTCACTTGCTAACGTATCCCAAACCCTTCACTATTGCAACAGAACACAACCTAAACGACTCAGATACACTCAGTCCTTACAACCATACACTTTTCTGCATGACGAAGAACTGGCTAACTCAGATGGTTCAAGGAATTCTATTTTACCATAAGCACTAAGAGGATACAAGAAACAAATGTGAAAACTGCCAGAAAATCATCATCTCACCGGAAAGCTAAAGATCTAAATAGTTCATTAGGTCTAAGATGAAATTTGTGATTATATATCTGCATTCTTATGAACACTTCCACTAAACTAAAAGACAATACTCGAAGAGAAAAGAAAACACCAACTTCTGGAAAGCACTAAGTGCCATTCTAATCGTTGACAAAATCCCACCCATACCATTTATCAACCGAATGTTTTTTTATAAAACAACAACATAGAAAAACAGCACTTAGACCGCGCAAAGATCGGCGGTGTGATAACAACCGGCACGGCATCTGCGCACGGGCTGCCACAGTCAGCAAATCTCTCGATTCTTACAACACACCTCCATCGATTTCGTTGTTCAGAGAGGCGACCGAAGATCAAGCGGTCTGTGACATTTCTTTCCTCTGATGATATTCAAATACTTACTTGAATACTTGGATAACCCGTCCTCATTGGTTGTGCGGGCCCCAGCACAACCTCCGTTTCTCGGAGTTTTGCTGGCTTAGCCATTGTGGTTCCTTGGAGACCCGAAGCCGGTAGGGCCGAAGTCTGCCATGAGTCGTCACCACCGCATTTAGTCACAGCCCTTGTGGAGAGGGCGATTTGCCACCGTGCGACTAATTTGATACCAGGACGGTGACGGATCCTGGTGTTGATTTGCTCTTAACTGGGCTTCCTGATGGATTGGGAGGCCGTGCCGGAGGATGAATCTTCCCCTCTACATCGCAGCCCGACAGCCAGAAACACCTTCCAGCCATGATGAGGTGGTAAACCGTTGTGAGGACTGAACCACCATTGATACTATATTTCGATTCATGCGTTTCGTTGACAATATCTTTTCCGTAAAGTGGAACGAGAAAGATAGAAGCGTACTTTAAGCCGAAATTTATGGAATCTATGTCCATTTTCAAGGCAATGAAAACGACATGACACGATAGATTTATCGATAATTCCCGACAAATACAACACTATGTTTTTAAGAACACAACACCCTCTCTACAAAGTAATGGACCTAAATGGGATTAATGGTCTTCAACCTTATCCGGACGTTGCAGAACCTGAAAACAAATACGTTTAGGAAGATAAAAGGTCTATTAACAAAAGATCTGACGACCAAGTTGCCAAAAGACATTACTCTTTTCGTTACTACAAAAAGAGAAACTTCCACAGTTACAACAGAACCATATAATGTAAGGAACTACAAACCTTGTAGTCTTTGAAACGAGTTTCAATTTCAGGAAAGTCGTTTATGCCGACCTTGCATGGATCCGGAATTCTTAAACGACAACAAAACTATATAAAGAAATATGTAGTTCTATTAACAAAACTCTAACACCACACCAAATAGTTCATGTTAAACTGCCAAATGGTAAATGATAAGACAGTAACATCTGAAAAAGTCCATGCTCTCTATCCCAAGATGTTAAACTAAATGTAACTTATAATGGGAGATCAGATTACTTCGTCACTTTTATCTACACGTTACAATGCACCACCTGCAAGTACCTGGCGAAAATTTCCCCCTGATAAGTTAGTGTGAAGCTGCAGAAACCGCAGAGAACTGCCATTTTTTAGGTAGAGCAGTTAGAGTAAGGCTGGCTGGAGCCATAAGAATGGAGAAAAAGTATAAAGGGTACCCACAAAGTCCGCCAAAATCCTGCCTCTTAAAACGCTAACACGGTCGCTTTCTGGAGCTCAGACGGAACATCGGTATCCAAAAGGGCAATGGAAGATATTATTCAAGTGTTTTACTGGGAACTCTTCGACAATCGCAGTAAGATAGACATGCCACATCAGTGGTTCTAACTTCACAAATCCGGATCCAATGTCGTTTAGGCGGTTACGAACTAGCTGATGTCTTAGATTACTCGGTGGCATTTCAGCTACGTTTACCGAATTCTTTAGACCCGCCTTTCTTAAACGGTGTTTTATAGCTTCACTTCATTTGAAACGAAGGAGAGTATAAATGGGACCCTGTTGTCGCTGGAGTTATCATTGGGGTACCTGTGGTTCCCTCTACGCATATCTCGAGCTACAGTTTTTTTTTCGTTAAGGGCCAGTCTAGAGAATTCGGTAACGATAATCGAAATACCACCGAGTAATCTAAGACGCCAGCTAGTTCGTAACCGCCCAGTCGTCTATGTGCAACACAAAATTGCATAATTTGCCCCAATGGCAGAGACGGTGACCGCATGAGTTCGGGTACAGTCTATCTGATCTCTTGTAAAGCGTGCGGAGACGAATACGTTGGCGAAACGGGTAGACCACTCTGCGTACGTATAAAAGAACACCTACTCGGCAAACGTAAGACAAATACTCCACTAGGCACGCATAGGACGCGGACACATGACGGAGAAGATTTTGAAGTAAGGTTTACGATCCTCGAGCTAGAATCGAGAACACGAGCGCGCAAAACTATAGAGGCATTCTGGATTAATTCCAGAAATCCGAAAATGAACCTCAGGGAGGAATGTCTCACTATCACGCGTGATATTGGACAGTATATAAGACTGTTATTCGGATGGGAGGGACACATTACGCTTCCATGTGAATTCTGTGCGGCTAGTCTTCACGCGACATAATCAGTGGAAACATAGAAAGCGGTGGGTGTGCAGAGCTGTGTTAAATGTGATTGAAATCTTGATTTAGTATTTTCTGTTTGGTTATGGAAGTGTTTGGCAGAATAGGTTGCTGTCAAGTTGACCTTTCCAGGCTCTGAGAAAGGCGAAATCCGCCGAAACGTTAGCTTATACATAAATAAAGAAATAAAATAGCACCTTGCTTTTGCTGAACAGAAGTAGAAAGAATTATTCAATCAATGCCGAGGTTAACAGAAAGTCGGACTTGGGAGTTACTACAAAACCAAGGAGACCGTATGCATACAACTCCAACGATAATTGTTGGATGATTTGGAATAGATCAAAAGTCATTAGGTGGCACGGGTTCCATGAGATGCCATGCACACAACACTGAAGACAACCAAGCCAGTCCAAGTACTTCTTAAATACCAGCTATGAAAAATACAGTACTCTTCATGCTCCTTAAGAGTACACAGTCCACTGTATAACTCTTGCATACGAGCTTTTACAGAAGCGCGCTTAGAACATTCGTTGACCAAAAAAAAGCATAAATGCTGCTAGAGTTTACATTTAATTCTAAAGGGATTAATTTGTTGCGCAGAATTCACATCATGAAGTACTGTGATGGCCAGCCTACCACACTGAAAACAGAAGTTTACTCATCCTCACTTACACCTTTTCTTCACCCATTAATGGAAAGGCATTGTCTAACTTTGGTGCGTGTAACGCAGTGGTCGGAGACGCACTTCAATATGCATGGATCGACCCGCGCGCCCCAGACTCATCAAGCCTTCCATCCCTCCGGAGTCAGCAAATTGGTACCAGACTTGTCTGGAAGGACAGCAGCACTGGTTCGATACATGGGTAGGCCACCGCGATTCATTATAAAAGCCACATATGCATTCAATCATCTTCAAGGACGCTTAATCAAGTAGAATTCACAGCGCACTCTTCAGGGATTCACCAACCCCAACAGCTTTATCCTTTCCCTTCTCCATTACCCTTGATCCTTTATTGCCTTAATAATTCAATAACAACTACAAGCACAAACTTTACCTGTTTTGATAACGTAGATCATAAAACTCCTGAGGAAAGTACTCGACGAAATGTTGACGGTTGAAATGCTCAACGGGAGGAGCGGAAGCCCATTTAGCCTCCACCTAAGATCAAAATTCGATTAGGTTAAATGAGGTTTTGTCAAACCCGAAAATCTAATTTTGAAAAATAAGAGTTGACAAGGGTCCACCTTCTTCGCTTCTTCCAGGCCATCAGCGACTTTAATATCATGGAATTTTATGCGCTCGTTATTGTACTCAGTCCAGTGATCGATCTCCTGAACGCAAACTACTTCACTTTAAAATTCAATTACGTTGCCTTAACTTTGAGGTTTCATAATCCTTCACTCATCACGACGAGGGAAGTCATATTTTTGAAGGAAGTGATCTTAGATATCCTAAGGCGATAGCTTGTAGTAAAAAAGAAAAGACGAAGTTGTATGAGCCTCACTTGGAGAAACTTTTTAGGAATTTCTCCATACGGGATTTTGATGGATTCCAACTGCTTCTGAAGCGAGTCCAAAATCGCAGAGTGAGCTGGCATTTGCTTCTTAAGAGCGTTGAAGTCAACCTTAAAAAAAGGAACGTTTCATGGAAAACCCAGAATATTTACGTGGGACCAACAACCATTTCATCTAGCCAATACCACGAATGACAGCGAAAGAAACAACAATTACCTCACAGCTAGGTGCTGTGGTCATTCTTCTAGGATATAGATGAATGGCAGAATTTAATGCTCTTACGTCAAATGCAAGCACAATAATGCTGAGATACTTGCAAAACTCAGGCCCATAGGTGTCTGCGAAGAGGAACGAACGCGTTATCACCCTTTCCGGGAGCTAACTTGTTCACCACCATACCATGCAGGTCCTTCGTTTCGCCTTCCTCTGAGCTAGTTCTACGTTCTTACCCATATCCATCATACCTGAGGAAGATCAGCAGGGAGGACACTGACTGCCGTTGAGAATGTGTGGCTGGCACCTTTCAGTCGCGACAGTTCCGCTGCGTGCTCGGGGATCAGTCTTTCACCTGGTGTAGTGTCCATAAACGTGGAAGAACACTCCAACATGAGGATATTCTTAAAGACAAACCCAATTTGGCCCAATTCACTGAGCTGGCTGCGATTCTGGCACTGCCGGACATGCCTGAAGAGTGTAGAAGATCAAAATTCACGAGGAAAATGAACACATGCTTGAAGAGAATCTACTTCCAACAAAATTACAGACACCAGATTGAAGACGTTAGTCAAAAATCGTGAAGAGGATACCATCTCAAAAACTGCTAGTGGGTGGGCTTCTTCTCTCAAAAACTATGGATGAAACAAAGACTGGAAGTTCCAGGTTTCACTGCAGAGCACACTATTTGGTATTTTCACACTATGGGCAAAGGTAAGACCCAACTAACCCATAGAGGATAAAGGATAAACCTCTCGGCGTATCAGTCCCAGTGGGATGCGCCATGCATTCGACTTCATTGAGTATCGTTTGAGGTGACTGAATTCTTGTCTAGCCTTTATAATGGCCCACTGATTTATCGAGCCAGTGCTGTTACCCACCCAGACAACCTTGGTGCCAATTTCTCGATCCCGGAGGGAAGGAAGGCTGGGTGGGTCATGGGCGCTGGGATCGATTCCACGTGACTAATTCAGAATATTATAAAAGCAGACGACAACGTGATATCGGAAGGGAGAGAAACAGAAGCAGGCCGCCTGTCCTAATCCCGCTGGGACAGATAATGACTATCGAGCGCGGTATTCGTGATCCATGCTCTTCCGTCGTTTGTGTCCTTCGAACAACTGTTTCTCCTCATTTCTTCTTATCATTGAGCCTTAATCCTGCTAAAGATGAGTCTATTAACATTTCTTGAAAAAGAGGATTTAAAAGGTCCACTCGTTCATTTTCTCTTAAGAAATCTATTACATGCAAGCGAGTCTTTCATCTACATATTTTCATATAATATTTCCCATCTTATTTTTTTCTTGTCTCTACTCTTTCATCCTGTTTTTCTCACAATTTCTGAACACGTGAATCCTTCCAGACTTCTGTATATGGTACAATTTTGTCCCAAAAATGTAAAGTTATACCTGAAGAAGTACGAACAGGTAGTTTTCTCAAGACTTTTGTAAACACGTTTGTTCATTTGCAGTATTGCCATCAAAACAATGAAAAATCGGATCATCTCAATGCCTCTTGTATCTCCATCATTCTATTTTTGTCCCTCCATCAGCTTTCTCAGTTTCAATATACGGTGTGGTGGTGAACGCGATAGCCCCGGAAAGGTTAATATTGTGTTCGATCCCCATTGCAGACACCTGTGGTTCGGCGTTTCGCAAATATCCCAGCATCATTGTAGTTCTATCGCACATAATACCCTGCCGTTAAAAATTTTAATAAGCGGGAGATAAAAAAGTTAACATTGTGAATTTGACTTGCTACTATTTTCATTGGGTGCGTGTGGCGCAGTGGTCTGGGCGCCTTGCAACACGGACGTAGAATCGATCCTTGCGCCCATGGCCCACCAAGCCTTCCATCCCTCCAGGGTCGGAAAATTGGTACTAGACTTGTCTAGGAGGTTAGCAGCACTGGCTGAATGCATCGGCATGCCGGGAGTCATTGGAAATGCCCGATATGCATTCAATCACCTCCAAACGATGCTTAGTGAAGTCGAATGCATGGCGCATCCCTCAGGGATTGATCAACGCCGAGATCTTTATCCTTTATTTAGTATTTTCATTCTCACATTCGTCGAATATGTAAGTGATTATTTGAAAGAACCAACACTACTGTTTCAGTCCATAACACACACATACCTGTTGGTTCAGTTAGACTCTGGCTCGATCTCCGATTCTTTCGTTCCCTGACGATCACCCTGTCTTCTGCTTGGTGGCTTTTTCAAGTTTGGTGTCAATCCAGTTACCGCTTGCTATTGGCACAGCTGTTTGCCATAAACTCTGAGGCTTTCCGAGAACTAATGGTCATATTCAAGTGCATAGTGAAGGAGCAAACTTGTAGCGCATCAATTTGTGGTGTGGGTAATCGTCCCGGGTTCATAAATTCCTTAACTACACAAGAAGAGGCGTCGGCTGGCAGAAAGAGACTCATTTGAACTTGTTTTCAACAAGTTTTTTTCTCCATCTACTACGTTTTCTTCGAGTAGCTCGCAGTCGTTTCTTCATTTATTCGCTAACCTCTGTGAGCATACTTGTGGAAGGTTTGGCGCGATGGTGGTACCTTGTCTGTACCTTTCGTAAGGGAAACTGAGATTCGTTTAGGTTCATTCACTTGACGATGAGAGCACAGCGTTCGTTTTGACACTGTCAAACGTGTTTTCATTCTCAGTAGATATTAACGAGAGGTAATTCAAGTTGGACAGAGTTCTGTCACGATAGCTACAATTGGGCTGCGATGAAAGAGTCATCCATTTCAAATCCTAATTAAATGGTCTCGTTCGTCACTGGTATGTATGTGTGGTATGAGAGCTTATCGTTCGATTAGAATTTATGGAGAGAACTGACCGTATCGCATTGTAAAGATGGAACTTCTTCGTTGTCTAACTTCTGGTTGACGAAGTTGACCATAATGTTCCCCTATCATCGAGCTGTGTGGCTTTTCATGGTGCTAATCATGAATATCAACGGTTTACTGCTTCATCGTGGCTAGGAGGTGTACCTGGGTGTCGGGCTGCGATGTACAAAGGGGATTCATCCCTCAGCAGGGTCTGCCAAACTGAGAAAGAGTCCGGCGTTTTAGTCTCATGGCGGCAAATCACTCTCCGATCTGCAAAGGCGGCGACTGCCTGTGTTGGTGGCGACCTGGGGCAGACTTTGGCCAAGCTTACCTCAGAACTCGAGGGAGCCACAATGACTGAACCAGCAAAACTACGAGGAAATTGTGCTAGGGTCCGCACAACCCGTGGGAACGGGCCATACAAGTAAGTTTCCAAGTAATCGTACATCGAGTCGTTAAATGAAAGTTGGAGAAGAACTCTGCTTCTCTTAACTCTATCATGATGGAAAGTGATATAAATCTGACTTTATTCCTTAATTATCGTGTTTTGTTGCGGAACACTAGCTCTATGCTCTCAACAGCTGTCGTCCGTACCGATTCCATTTTGAGGTGAATTTTATGGTTTTCCCATCCCACCACGCCTATGGGTTTTCCTGAAGATGGAGAAACTAGTTCACAGCTGGAATTTATTGATCATTCCACTAATGCTTCAAAATAACACCGAGTAAACTTTTTATAGTGATAAATATGCTGTCTGGCCTTCAGAGTTCTGGAAATGTGGGGTTTTCAGCGCATGTATTCCTTTGACGATTATTTCTTAGTACTCGTTTGAGTTCTTCTCATATTGTCCTCCTTCGAGAGGTATTTATATTCATCTTGAATCTGAATCGATTGTTCCCACTGAGCAGTCGTTAATCCAACTACCAGTGCGAAAGTTCACGGTATGGGTCTTCGTTTTTTTTTTTTGCAACCGGTTAGTTACCTTCTGGATGTAGTACTGAGGAAAGTACAGGAAACTACCATGTCATTCCACACTGTTTAGTTTTCCAGACAAAATCCTTTCGAATTAAGTGTCACATGAACAGTAAACCGATAAGGTAGTCTTCACTTCCGCTTCAAACGAGCATTCCGAACTTTTCTCATCGCCTGTGCGTGTAGATAAGAAGCGGTTGGTGATGCTGATCTGCCTCTTATCTTAACTGTGGAAGTGAACCACTTATCAGGTTGACCGGTAATTAGTACTACTTCAGTTGTCCGAAGATAAAGTGGTAAGTTCTTGTCAACTTCGTAATCAACAGATGGATTTGCGAGAACTCCGATTCCATCGATGTTTCATTGAGGTGTCTTCTCCCGAAAGTGATAAAGATCTTTTTGATGATTCGGCTTTGGGGTCATATGGTAATGATCTTGTTCTTCGATTGCATGGAATTCTGTATGTGTCAGAGCCTCGTGAAGGACGTGAAAATGGACAACTGAGAAGAGTGCCGTAGTGTTTTATCATGCTGATTGGTGATTAGTGCTAGTTCAGTTGTCCGAACTTGGAAGAGCCCTTTCACCTAAGCTTTAATATTGCGGGCAAATCATGTACGCCTTTAAACGGATATCTCGTTCCGCAGTTTTACGGTTATATATGCAAAATAGGCACGTGTGGCACAGTGGTCGGAGGCGCCCTGTAATGTACACGTGGAATTGATCCCCGCGCCCACGGCGCACCAAGCCTTCCATCCCTTCGGGGTCGGCAAATTGGTACCAGACTTGTCTGGGAGGATAGCAGTACTGGCTCGATACATCGATAGGCCACCGCGAATCATTGTAAAGACCAGATATTCATTCAGTCACCTCCAAACGACGCTCATTGAAGTCGAATGCATGGCGCATCCCCCAGATATTGATCAAGGCCGAAAGCTTTATTCTTTTTTATCCTTTATGTATACAAAAGTTTCTTTTGGTCCAGTACCAGTGATGTCTGTTACAATTCGAAATTCTACTGCACTTCCTTCGCAGCGGTGGCTATTCCTTACGTCCACATTTTCCTAACTGTTCTTCTGAATAGAACTCAAACGTCTTCACATCCCCTTGCTGTCACGTTTAGGAGTCGTCTAGGAGGAGAGTGCACGTAATCATTCGGCATCTAGTTACGGCCACTAGGTTAGGTACGGTGGACAACAGGAGAGTAGTACAAGTACTTCTTTTAACACTACTAAAATTGTATTGTCGTATCTTAGTTGAAGCACAGTGACATTGCTTTACACATTCAAAACTATTCTATGTCTGATTTCTTGCGGCGTACAAATGTGTTCAAGCGCAGTTAACCTTTTCATCCTCCAGTCTAGTGTTTGGACGGAAACAGCCCATAATTTCCGTATGTGAAAGTTGAACTGAAATATAGATGCTGGCTAAATTTTTATTACTTGGGAAACATGGTTGACGCTTTCAGTATTTTTCCTTATTTGGTCTTCTTTATTTCTGTTGTACTTTAAGCTTTTATTCCTACCACATTCTACTTATCGTTTGCCGCTTTTTGTATTGGATACCGTTTTCTACCTTTTGATGGAAGGTTTCGGTAAGAACTTTAAAAATAACACATCAGTAGCTAAAAATGCTCTCGGCGTTTATCAGTCCCAGTGGGATGCGTCA